TGTCGGGGCTGTGCTGTGTGCTTTACCCCGTACTGACCCCTTCAATCCTGGCAGCAATCCTAGGAAGGTCTGTCATCACCTTATTTAATGTATAAGGAATCTGAGGCACAGAGGTGTTACCCAACTTGCTCAAAGTCACACAGCCCAGCAATCAACAGAGCCAGTGAGTGGCGGTCCCAGGCAGAGCATGCGTGAAGCCTTCTGCCAGCACTCAGCACACAGGACCTATACCTTCCAGGCTCCCAGACTTGCCTAGGAGCCCCGAGTTGGTGGGTGGGTGAGGTGGGGGCGTTGCCTTGTTCCTGCCCCCAGAACCTGGGCGGGTAAGCGTACACAAGGAGGCCTGCTGGGGTGACGAGCCAGCTCCCAACCTCAACCATCCAGGGCTCAAGGAAGCAGCTGGTCTCCCCAGTGGGCTGGGACCAGTTCAGCTGGAGGCCAGCTGACCCGGGGCTGCTGAGGAATGGCACGGTTTGTGGAGGTGCAGCCCCTCCTGAGGCGAGGACCCAAGCTACTTCCTGCACACCTACTGTGTGCCAGGCCCGAGGGGTCACGGGCCAGGGAAGCCAGGGGCCAGGAGACTGCTCTGCCCTCCACGTGCTGTGAAGTCAGACACATGGAAGCCAGGAGCCAGAGAGGGGGACAGTGGGATGATGCTCAGAGGAGCAGGGGCCTGGTTTCTGATCAGGACAAAGCAGATGGGGGTCTCCGTGAAGTGGCATCTGGGTCCAGCCCCAAAAGACGAAGGAGAATCTGGGCAGGTGGAGGGGGGAAGGGAACTCCAGGGGGCTGGAACAGCTTAAGCAAGGGCTGGAGGGGGGCAAGTGAGGAGAACTCTGGGGAAGAGTCACTGGTTTTGGCTGGAAAACAAGATAAGTTGGGAAGCAGCCGTGGAGTGGGGGTGCGAGATGCTGGGGCCCTCGGAGGGAGCAGCTGCCCACAGCAAGGAAGGGGCAATCAAGCACGTGGACTGCCCAGGACCGGAACCTGTCAGGCAAATCCACGTCCGCTGTCAGCTCAGGACAGTGGCCTAGTTCCCCACCTCGGTGCCCTCACCTATAGAAAATCATGCAACTTCCAGGATCATTGAGAGAATTAAACAAGACGGTGGTTTGCAGCACCTTGAACCTTGGGAGGCGGAGGAACACGTCTGGTGGGGGCACCGTGCCAGAGGAGACAGAGGCGGCTCCCTGGGGGCATCGGCCTTTGTGATGAGAACTGGTGTGGGCATATGCCCCTCAAGGCACCCCAGCCCAGCAAAAGTACTCAAATACTAGCCTTGTGTTTAAAGTGTAAACTCCAGGCGATGTGATTTCAGACTCTATGCTTTCTTAAAGAGATGTGAGAGGCAGAGCCTCACAATGTTGAGCAGGTCTCTCTACCCCTCTCAAGCCCTCAATCTCCTCATGTTGGGGGGGTAGGTGACAGGTTGGGTGGTTTCCCTAGACCTGGTTATTCAGAAGGGGCTGAGCCATGGAAGGAGGGAAATGGGCCAGAGGTGACTGTGGGGAGGTGTGGAAACCCAGAGAGGTGGGACCCAGAGAGGGGAGGGTGGGGGATGAAGGAAGCAGAATACGCTCCTTCCTGGGCTAGTCCCCCAGCCAGCCAAGGTCTTCCTCACACCCCCTACTCCAAGGCCCGCAGCCCCCACCAGAGCCCAGGGCATATTCATTCAGTTGGGGGTGGAGAAGCTGGAAGAAGAGGAGCTCCACCCTCCCAGGGCAAGTTCACTCCTGGGAACGATGGAAACAGCAGTGGGTGGGCTGGGAGGCAGGTAAGACCTTGGAGGCAGGTGAGACCTGGGGTCATGCCCCACTGGGCTATTTCAGGCTGAATGCCACTAGGCAAGTCCCTGCATGGCTCCATTTCCTCTTCTATGAGATGAATAAATATGCTTTCCTTGTAAGTAACATTTTTACCCTGGGGCCCAGCACACGAGCAACCTGCCTCATAGGTGAGCCCTTTGGTTCACCAGGAGCTGCGCAGGGCCTGGGGGAGTCTCAGCCAGCTCTGGGAGTGAGGGAGAATCACTCACCCCCGGGCACCCCCAAGACCCCCATGGGTGCCATCCTCCTCATCGCCCACAGGGACCCCGTCTTAGCCTCCCCACTGGCCCACCCACAGCACTGCCCCCACCCACCTGCTGCCAGAAGAACTCTCTAAGTGAGGCCCTCCTCGACTCTGATCACTCGGCTGTCGCTGTTGGCTTGTCACTTCCCCCACCAGCCCCGTGGGCAGGAACTACATCTGATTCATCTTGGCCGTTGCAGAGTGTGGGGTCTGGCACGGGAGTCCTGCCCACAGGCAGCAGAGCTAGCAGTGGGGATGAACAAGCAGGACCATTCACCCCTCCCACCAGCACCTGTTGCTCTATTGAATATTCATGACAGTGCTGGGCTCCACGTGGGACTCGGGGAGAGCTCAGTGTGGGACCACAGTTCAGTCTGTCCGGGATCAGGGCTCAGTGGGGCTGGGGTCAAAGTTCAGTCTTCTGGGATCTGGGCTCACACTGCGGGGCTGAGGTCAGGGTTCAGTCTGTCCAGGATCAGGACTCAGTGGGGCTAGGGTCAAAGTTCGGTCTTTTGGGATCAGGGCTCCGTGTGGGGCTGGGGTTAGGGTTCAGTCTGTCCAGGATCAGGGCTCAGTGAGGGGCTGGGGTCAGGGTGCAGTGAAGGAAGTTTTCTGCCCTCTATCATGAAGGGCTCAGGACTTCTCCCAGCCTTATCCCCTGCTTTGAAAACAACTTCTCCTGCCCCTGGGGTGCTGGGGGCTGTCTTGAGTCCCCACTCTGCCCACGCACTACCCAGGCAAGGCCTGACCTATGCTCCACTCCAGGCATCCCTGGAGTGGAGGCAACCCATTCTCATTGTGGCCAGCCGCCACCACCTGACTCCCACAGAAGGAGCTCAAGGTGGGAAGTGCTTCCTTGCATCCCTAACTGGCCTTCAGAAACACAGCAAGGACCGTCAGCCTTCTGGCCTGAATGTGTTCCCAAGCCAAGGAAAAGTGGTTTGTGGGTTAGCTCAGGTTTTTCTATTAGCCACCCCAGTGTTCCCACTCTATTAGCCCAGATGATCCGGTGCCAGTGGAGGTAAATCTGGGTCTGGCTGAACAAGCAGGCAAAGGTGTTGGCTGGCACATGGCAATGAGATGTGCCATCCAGACAGTTCCTCCTGTCACAGCGCCTGAAATCCTGCTTTGTGCTCCTTGCTTTAAGTCAGTCTTGCTGACCCTCCTCTGAAACCTCCACCCTGAACAGTTTTTAGCTGGGCGTTGGGACTGCCAGATCTCCCGGCCCTAGGTGACTCAGGTTTAAGCCAGGTCTGGCACTCACGGGGCTCAGAAATGGGAGCTGAATCAGACTGGCCTGAGTGGGCGTCAGAGTTTGGCAGGAGGCTGCCCCACCCCTCAGCACTCCCTCCCACCCAGCCAAACCCTCCGCTCCCTCTGCCTGCTACTCCCAAGCAGAGGGTCAAGTTGGTTTGCAGGAAAGACACATGGTTCTCATTTTAATTAATTAAAGAAAAATCTAATCACTGCATTAAACTTCTCATTACTCCACTTGAATACCCGTTAAGTAAATTTAATTACCAGAGGATTGGGTTTCCCAGCCTCTTTCATTAGCTTCTGATAAGATGGGGAGTTGGGAGGGAAGGGGATGGGAAGCAGAACAATGCCATTCTCAACCTACAGAGGGCAAGGTGGGCAGTGTACTGGGGCTACTGTGGTCAGGCTTTGGTGTCTCCCTGAGGACAGGCTTAGCCCTGGGCATGGGGAGACGCTCCTCCCAACTACCTCTAGAAAGGAAAAGGCCTAGAATTTGGATACTGTCAGCGCTGAATGCTTCATTTACAGCCACTCTTGGTTATTTATACCCCACCTCCTTCTAAAAGAGTTTGAGGTTGCTAAGAACAGCACAAGCTGAAAAATAACAGAAGAAATCAGAACAAGGGAAAGATGTGCGAGAAAAGAAGAGGAAGCCAAAGGCAAGGCTGCTGAGCAACATGCCCCAGCAACCCGAGCACTTATCAGAAAGGGGCCACAAACCAGCTATGAGCTTCCTAGCAGCCAAGACAAAGAAAGCAACACATTTCAGCACTAAGGTCATAACCAACAGAGTATTCATACGGAAATGCACACCAGACCTTGGTCTTTCCATCTATAAAAAGGGCAGAGCTTGAGCATGAACTAAAGGAAATGACCATTGGCGAAAGCAGTCAGCAAAAGTTTCCTAGAGCAGGAGGGATCTAAACTAGGCCTTGAAAAAGAGGATGGGGCAGACTCCATCTTTAGTAATCATTTATTATTTGCCTCCCCCAGTCAGAGACATCTCCTTCCTGCCAGCAGGACTCTGAGCTTCCTTTGAGAAGCTCAAAAGAAGCTTCTCTCTCATTGCTGGTCACATGGTTGGGGAAGGACAGACCCTTACCCTAGTCCATCCTCATTTCCTGTGTATCCAATTAAAGGATCAGGATTATCTTAACGCTGCCAATAGGGCCCAAGAGATTTATAGTCACTTGGGACTATAAATCCCAAGTCCTAACTCCAGGACTTTTATTTGTTCTATCAGAAAAGCAGGCTTTATCTCTAGCCGAGACCCCAGATTTCAACCTGGTAGCCAGTAGCCCCAGAAATTGCTGACACATCTTAACGATTACATCACGTGAAAAGATACTAGGAATGGAGCCATCACCAAAAAAAGAGAAGCGGAGAATTACAGACAGAAAACAGCTCCTGGTCACATTGTTGAAGTGACTGGATCAAGCCCTGCCTGAAGCCCAACTTACCCCTAGACGCTTCAGTTTCATGAGTTGATAATCTCATTTTATTGGAATAAGATTTTTGTTACTTGAAACCAAAGGGATCCTCACAGACACCGTGTTCAGAAAGGTATCCTTCCAGTTCCAGAGACGGAGAAGGAGCCAGGGAATGGGCAGGGTGGGTGTGCCACCTACCGTGACTACCACTGTGCCCCACTGAGTCCTGAAGCTTGAGGTGCAGGCTGGGGTGAGGAATAGGCTGGGGAGTGGGTCCAGGAGCTGGGCAGGGACAGAGCCCCGAAATGCTGGCAGGAGGCAGGCTCAGCGCAACCAGGACATGGCTGTGGAGCCCCTAGAAAAGAGGAAAAGCAAGAATGAGCCGTATGGTTCACATGGGGACACAGGGGCACAGGGCATCAGGCAGACAGTGGTCACACTTTCCCAAGGGGAGGCGAGTCTGCCAAGTCTGTCTTCACTTCCTCACCTCTGTACGTCACTTACCCCTTTACTGCGCCCTCACCCGGAGTGCCTCCAGGCTGCTGAAGAGCATCTGTAGGAGCCCTTCCCTCTGAAGAGAAGGGAGGATGGGGGAGGGGTGCGCAGGCATGGCTGGAATCCATGTGCTAGTGCCAGACTGTATGTGCCTGGTGGCAGGCGGAGGGCAGGGGAGCGTCCCCCTCAGGACTGTGGACTCATTTCTCACAGTTCCTCTCCCAGTGAGTGTCCAGAACCGGGCCCAGGGCCTGAGGTAGCCAGAACAGGACAAAGGTGAGCGAGGCAGCTATCCTCTTTGATCGCTGGTCTGGACATCCAAGTGGCTTCCCTGGTGGTTCAGATGGTAAAGAATCTGCCTGCAATGCAGGAGATCCAGGTTCAATCGCTGGGTCAGGAAGAGCCCATGGAGAAGGGAATGGCAACTCACTCCAGTATTCTGTGGGCTTCCCAGGTAGCACTAGTGGTAAAGAACCCACTGGCCAATGCAGGAGACATAAGAGACAAGGGTTCAATCCCCGGGTCAGGAAGAATCCCTGGAAGAGGGCATGGCAATCCACTCCAGTATTCTTGCCTGGAGTATCCCATGGACAGAGGAGCCTGGTGGGCTACAGTTCATGGGGTCACAAAGAGTCAGACATTGCGAATCTGACTGAAGAGTCAGATTGAAGCGACTTGTCACACTGGACTTCTTAAAGAATCCTAGAGAGGACAGTGCTCAACCCAAGGGAATGAATAGTGTTCCAGGCATGGGTAGAGAGCAATGTAGCACCTCTGAGTGCCTTCCCATCTGAAGAAGCAGGAAACCGTCTACTCTGCCTTCACACATACCTCCTTTGGGCACTGACCCAGCTTTGGGGGCCACCCCTCAAGGGGGTGATAAACACAGTCTTCCCCAGCTTCTCTGAGGCCAGGTGGCACCTTTGGGGAGGGACAAAGGGTGGAGATATTTCAGACTCAGGACATTGCCTGAGGTCCTGGCTGTTGGAAAGTCACTAAGCCTCTTTATCCCTTCATGAGTCCTCTGATCTAAGGGATACTGGCTTGCTTCTTGGCTCCATAAAAAAGGCACAATGACCGAGATCCTACGTCACAGAACACTCGGCTGACTGGGTCTCCAGAAACATCTCTAGATCAGTGCAGTGGAATTGAGCTTTCTGCAATGATGGGTGTGTTTGATACCTGTGCTGCCTGATATGATAGCTGCTAGCCACATGTGGATGTTGAAATGAGGATAAAGACACTAAGAATCTGGTTTTTTCTTTTCTTTTATTCATTTATATTTAAATCTAAATAGTCACATGTGGCTAGTTGCTACCATATTCGATAGTACAGCTCTGGACCAACCCTTGCCTAGCCCCTGGCCCCAATGCTATGCGTCCTCAGTGGTGTTGGACTCTTTGTGACCCCATGGACTATAGCCCGCCCAGCTCTTCTGTCCATAGAATTTTCCAGGTAAGAATACAGGAGCAGGTTGCCATTTCCTAACCCAGGGGATCTTCCCAACCCAGGGGTAGAACCCGCGTCCCCTGCGGCTCCTGCATTGCAGGCAGATTATTTCCCTCTGAGCCATTGAGAAAGCCCCCCTGGTCACAACCCAGAGAAAACTGAGGTCCAGAGAGGAGATAGGATTTGTCCAAGGTCACATAGAGAGTGGCAAAGGCAAAATCTAGAACCTAACTCTTCGGACTCCTAGCCCCAACTCTCAATAGCACCCACTGACCTTCTCATGTTGGGCTCATGTTCTCCCGTCCTGATCAGCACCGTCACACACAGTGTCTTGCTATCCCATTAACCATGCTACTGCTCCCAAGACAGGGTATCAGGCCACCTTTGAAGGGATCTCTCCCAGCCACTGCTGCTGGCCCATCCCTCAGGCCCCTAGTCAAGCAGCCCCAAAGAATATTGCTGGGGAAATCATTCATCAGAGAGGAAGTGCCCTGGGCACAGAGCTGGCCACTGCAGGGTTATTAATAACAACAAAATGCTGGAAGCTGCCTAAACATCCCACAATACAGATAACGAAGTGCATCATGACACTGCTGTTTGATGGAATATTACACAGCCATTAAAAGTGATAAACACAGAGACTTGTAGCAGCACAGAGCAATGTTTACTAACAATACTGAACAAGAAAACGGAAAATGGATGAGGGTAGGGCGGGGTTGCAGTGGTGTACAGGGCTCTGTGCTCACTGAGCCCACTTGTATCTGTTATCGCAGCCTGCACTGCAGCATAATGACATCCAGAGTTCACACCCATTCTAGAGATGGAGGAGCTGAGGCTTCAATAAGCCACCCACAGCCCTGGTGACATGGGGAGGGAGCACTAGAATAGGGCTTGAACTCTGATTTCTGACTCTAAGGACAGACTTCCACAGCTGTTACTTTGTGCCATGATGGGGATGTTAACTTTTGACCTCTCCTTTTTATGTATTAACTCATCTTATTTAACAGATACATTCTAAGTGCCTTACAAACGTGGGCTCATGTGATCTCTACAATAGCTGTAAGAAGGAGCAACTGATACTCATTTTTTTTTTTTTTTGAATCAGGAAACTAGGGCACAGAGGTAAAGGGTCACTTCTACTTCCCACATGGTCTACAAAGTTTCAGTGTTGTCTTCACAGGAGAAGGGCAAGGTGGCAGGGAGGGAAGAGCTGTTGACTCGGAGCAGTAGAAACAGTAGTATGTGTGCAAACAAGTGTGTATGTGCATGTGTGTCCTCCCTTTCTAATTGCATGGAAATGCTTTTTTGTAGCAATTGAAAGAAAAAAGAAATAAAATGTTGTATCAAAAATTCTTTACAAAACAAGCACAAACACAAAAATGAAAACTTATTCAAAATTAAAGCTATTGATACATCCAAGAGACTGTGAACGCAATCCAGCCCCTGGCAGCCAAGCTCATGTCTCCAGGCTTTCGTGCCAATTTTCTGACCCTGGACTCCTCCCTCCTGCCTGGGTGAGATCCTCACCTCAGAGGGCAGCGAGGAGCAGCCTTGTGTGCAGGTGGACTTCAATAAACACCTCCCGGAGCCCTCGGCACAACACAGCAGGACAGCAGACAGACTTCAGAGACCGAGCTGCCTGCGGCACTACGGTCGCTGGCCAGGGCTGACCTAAAAAGGCCAAGACATCCAGGCTTCTGCCTCCAGCCCCAGGCAGCTCCATTCCACAAGTGCAACAACCGAGCCACGCAAAAGGTAAAAGACCTCATCAGAGGTCACACTGCTACTGAACAGAGAAACGTATGTGTGCACATGCCTATGCGTGCATACAACCCACACGTACACGTGTCTCCCGTGTTTGCTAAGTTGCTTCAGTCATGTCCTACTCTTTGCCACCCTATGGACTGTAGCCTGCCAGGCTTCTCTGTCCATGGATTCTCCAGGCAAGAACACTAGAGCAGGTTGCCATGCTCTCCTCCAGGGCATTTTCCCCACCCAGGGATCGAACCCTTTTCTCTTAAGTCTCCTGCATTGGCAGGCGGGTTCATTACCACTAGTGCCACCTGGAAAGCCCTGTGTGTCTCCCACGTGTACGTATAATTAAAATATCAGGTGATACTCAGCTTATAGACACACACTACACACACACACAATGATGATTACATTACTAACTGCTACCATATCCACAGTTGTGTTTCTATTTCTCCTGTACATTTTTCTGTTATTTTTCATTCTGTCACCAAATACTTATGAGCACTTACTATGTACCAACTATATTATAGGTGCTGGAAATTAATTGGGGTGCCCCTCACAGGGATGGGGATACAGATGATAAGCAAATAAAGAAACAAGATAGTTCCAAAGAGTGACAAGTGCGATGAAGATGAGCCTGGGCACGTGAGGGAGAGCGCCTGGGATGGGGCTCAAGGGTCCCTCGAGCAGGAGGATCTGAGGATGTCTTTCTGCAGAGGCCACATCTGAATTTACACATGGACAATAAGAACTCAGTCAACCTAGAGCAGCAGGAGCAAGGCAACAAACAGAGTGGGGAAGAAGACTGGTGTTTCTGAGGAGCCACAAGCCATTTGGCCCCTAGAATGAGATGGGCAGAGGTGGGGCAACTGTGCAAAGGAGGCCACAGAGGGAGGCTGGGCCTTGAAGGCCAAGGTAAAGCTTCGGTCTTCATCCCTAGTGCAATGAAGAGTCACCTCGGAAGTGCTGGGACGTCTTACTCGTTGTGAAAAGTTCCTTTGGGCTGCCGACTGGAGACTGGATTGAAGAGGAGCAGGCCCAGGAGCAGGGGACCCGTGGGCTGGCTCTGGCAGTTGCCCAAGACAGGGAGATGTGCCTTGGGCCAGGGTGAGGGAGGGACTAGACAGATTGAGGATATATGCTGTTGCAAACACAGCTCATCAGCAGTTGGTTGATGAGTTGGATGTGAGGAGGTGGGGGTAAGAAAAAGGAATCAAGGATGACTCCTAGATCTTCTACCATGGACACGAACTGCTTTTACCACCAGACCCCCCACGAAAAAATTTTAAATAACTGTTAAAAAATAACAGCAGATGAGCCACCATGAAGACCGCCACCCCCCACACACTGAGTCTCACACCCCCCAGGGTGCATCTTTCTTTCCAAGCCCCCGCTGTGTTCTCTGGTCCTGCATGTAGCACACAGGGCAGGAAAGAGATTGGGTCCCACCCTCAGGCTGGCAGGAGACAAGACTGTCCAAAAAGACAGGACAGGGAAGGACAGGGGAGGGTGTAGAGAGGCTGGTCCAGAGCAGGCCCCCAGCACGTGCTTGTTAAAGAACATGCTGGCTGAACCTGAGAAGTTCTAGCATGGGGTGTGGAACTGGGGAGGCAGGGCACAGCATCTGGGAAAAGCAAGAGTTTGAAGGTGAGACCATCC